TCCAGGTCGTTAACCTCGAATCAGATTTTAAATTGTTTGTTTCATATGGTGAATTTTGTTCCACTTTACTGAGTTTGAACTCAATGCTTCAGATTGTACAGTAATTCATACCGTTTAGGTTTCATTTGAATCAAATCTGAAAGTTATTGTGCCTTGTAGGAAATTCTCCTTCACTACTGGCCATTACCATCGAAATATACAGCTTTATGTTTACTCTTTGCTACATCTAACTTTTGACTTTCTAATAGGTGCTTTTTCTAGACTACACTCATCTTTTTTGGGTTTAACTGTTTTCATTATCTGGAGTCCACGTACAGAAATATAATTCCTTAATTTTATGATAAATCGTTGAGATACTCTGAAACAAACATTTTACCGCTCCAATTTCCAGAGGAAGGGAAAGTATTGTTGTTGGACCAGGATATGATGTTAGGCCTCAGCTTAAGCAAAAAGGAGCCCAGAAGAAACTGAAACAGGTAACGAATCCAAAGCATTTCTTCTATCCTTTATACGAAGTTCCACTAATTATCTAACCTGAAGGGTATTTTGCATCCTTGGTCAAATTACAGAAGAAAGCTGGACAGCAACCTCCCGATTTTAGAAAGGAGAAAGATTACTTTGCAGAAGTCGACTCCTTTGAGCTCATAGAGGAGAGTCCTTCCCCCAATAACTTTTCCACTTGGGCAATGGGCAGGAAACATGATTATGTTATTCATGATCTGCCTGCCATTTTAGAGCGGTGGAGAATTTCAAAGGTTGCATACAGTAGACCCTCACAGCAGCTGTTTAAAATTTTGGAGACACCAATAATTCCTTCGGCAGACAGTTGCTCTTGTGGTTCCTCTAGTTTGATTGAAAAAACTCCAGACAGGACTTCAAGGTTGAAGCTCACCAGCCTTAAATCTTATCAAAGGAGCAGTGCTTCAATGGCCAGAGATCATAGTTCGGCTGGGGATCTGAATGAAAACTGCATCCTTTCCTCTTTTGATTCACTTCGAATAAAAGAAGAGGATGATGTCTGCGGAGAGGTAGATGCTTGGAAAGAAGAGGATGTGGGTAAAGAAGTAGATGGAGCTATCAGAAAGGAATCGTTGGATTTGCGCCCAAAGTCGTTTGGTAGTGAATGCCTCAGTGCTTTCACACAACTTCTAATGGTTTGCAGGCAGTCAGCTCCTGTAAAGCTTTCTGAAGTCTTCTCCACATATTGGTTGGTGCTACTGTTTTTTACATGATTTGGGTAACAAATTAACAACATGCTATTCGTTCATTATTTCTAAGATCATACACATTTTTCAGTTATTTTAGGAACTTCTCTTCATTATTTGCAGTGAAACCTGACAATTCTGCTATGACTTTGCCATTGATAGTTGTAACCCTATGATCTTCAATTTGATGATATGTATACCATGAATATCTTCAACTGCAGGTCACTTTTAGCAATTGACGTATTATCCTACCTGTCAACTTGGCACCCTCTGTTATCTATACTTTCCTGCACCAGTAGTTCAGTTTGTAACCAAAATTTCTGATTATAGTTCTATCATCAACACCTTTGAACTTTTTTATGCACATTTTTTTTGTGAGATTTAACTTTTAAAGTAAGTTGGTATTTGGTTTTTTTTAAGTGTCTTAGTCGGATCATGGATGTTTCTCTACTGAATGTCGAAATTCATTATTTTCTCTTGATTTCTAAAAGAGAGAACCTTATACATTAGCTTGATTTTTAAAACAGTGACCCAACTACCATAATGAAACTTGGTGAAGGAACATATGGAGAAGCCTTCAGAGCAGGTGAAACTGTATGCAAGGTAGTCCCTATTGATGGGGACTTACTAGTCAATGGAGAAGTACAAAAGGTTTGTATATCCTATGGAAACCTATGTATGTCCCATTAGAAGCCCCTCTGAAGATTTTCATCATTAATCCATATGTTTTCTGATACAGAAAGCTGACGAAGTGCTTGAGGAAGTTTTGCTTTCCCTGACACTAAATAGTTTAAGAGAAAAAAAAGGAGCTCATGCAAAGAATTTGTGCACAGGGTTTATAGAAACAAAGGAGTATGTGATGCAAAACTCTGCGCTTGTGGTTCATTTATGTAGCAAATCTATGTCCCATCAGTTGATATTCTTGTCTTTGTAATAGTAGTAATATTACTTGGTACTTTCAGCTTCCGTGTATGCCAAGGCGACTATGATGCTGACCTTATCAGTGCATGGGAGGATTGGGATGCAAAACACGGTTCTGAAAATGATCATCCTAAGGAGTTTCCTGAGGATCAGGTTTTCATATACTATTTTAGATGTCTATTTTAGCTATTATAAATAGAATTTTATTTTTCTCTTTTGATAACAATGACTTTTTTTTCAGTGCTATATTGTGTTTGTTCTTGCTGATGGTGGCAAAGATCTTGAAAGTTTTGTTCTTTTAAATTTTGATGAGGCTCGAAGCTTATTGGCACAGGTAAATTGAAATTTTCCTTCTTAGCATTTATGAACAAATGGCTTTCAGATTTTTCCCAGGTTTCATCTTTTTTTGATGCAGGTTACTGCTGCTTTAGCTATCGCTGAAGCTGCATGCGAGTTTGAACACCGAGACTTGCACTGGTCTAATACTGCCTTCTAATTATCTCGTTAGATTTTACATGATGCAAAGTGAATCTATCGGCTTCCTTTTTTGTTTAGATTTTGGTAATAAGTATTAAATAACCAATGCAGGGGAAATATTCTTTTAAGTAGGAAAGAAACCACAACGGTGGATTTCACCCTTGAAGGAAAGAAAATGACAGTCAAGACATTTGGAGTAACAATATCAATTATTGACTTTACCCTTTCCCGAATCAACACTGGTAAGTTTCCCTGTCAAAAATTTTCAAGCTGTACTGAGCTTCAAACGGGAAATTTAGACATGCTTTGTCAAATCTGGTACTTTGTGGTTCAATTCTCTGTGTTCTCAAGGTATTTGCAATCCTTTATCACTGTTAGATGACTCGGTATATATGGAGTTATGGACAATTCTATTAGTTATTTTCTTCTTCTGATTCTACCATAACTAATCTTACAAGTTCTTTTCATATCCTTGTAACCTATGAAGCACGGACACGCATAATATGAAGTCGTGTCGTGTCGTGTCCGTGTCGGACACACGTGTCGAACACACGTATCCTATGTATTTTTTAGGATTTGCCTCGTGTCGACGTGTCGGATGACCGTGTCGGATCCGTGTCCGTGCTACATAGCTTGTAACCAGTAACCTAAATCTGACTTCATTACTTATCTCGTAAAGTTTTCTGCATAATTAATCTGTAGTGTTTGCTTTACCCCACTGGGACAGTCAGGGTCCAGTTTAGCAACATTTGTTAGAGACAAATTCAGTTTGTTGCAATCATCCAATACAGTACAGTTACGGTCATCTCTCTTTGCACTTTGAGCACTGATAGATGCCCATTTGAACAGTCAACACCGTTTTCTTGCATTTATTCTTTTCAATCCTCGTTAGTTAATCTTTTGTAGGTATCATCTTATGGTGTTGGTAATGTACTTCAAGTTCACATGTCATGTATGCTAGCACAAAGGTGACTTGGTGTTATGTTTTGGAATTGGATGGAAAGAATGGCAGGTTGGAAAATACCATTTCAATTCTATCATAAGCCAAAGCATGTACACAGGCTACATAACTTTCAGAATACTACCATCCATTCACCATGCCTCTCTTAACTACAGATCTTCCTTAGCAAAATATGACACTTTAGGAGAAATTTCCTCTTCGGCTTAATCTTAATGCTTACCCCCTTACCTTTCGCTATATCTGCATGGCCTAGAATTATGAAGAGTTGGGACAAAGATCCGTCTTCATTATTTCTTGTCTTTCTCTTGTAGTATTTTAACTTGGTCATTACTTTGGTACTTGCTTGTAAAATTTTCAGTGAACATATGTTTATTTTTAATGATCTTAACAGGGGAAGCTATACTCTTCCTTGACTTATCTGCTGACCCTTCACTGTTCGAGGGTCCTAAACGAGACAAACAGGTTTGGTGTGATTAATGCGAATTCCGTTATTGTAATTGAACTTTAAGTTCTATTCATGATCTCTTTTATACTTTGTTACAGTCAGAAACATACCGCAAAATGAAAGAAGTTACAGAAGATTGCTGGGAAGACAGGTAAAATTCATCTTTTTGTAACAGATCAGTGCTTTTACAAAATGCATAGTTTACATGCAATTACATGTTGGAAAGGTACCATTGATCGAGGAAATATTAGACTTTTCTCAAGGTTGCTTTGTCTATGTAAGTTGATAATATTCGTAATAATGGTAATAATACCTTAAAACAGCCTCTCTTGATCAACATCCACTTTGGTTGGTAATATTGAGATTAGAGACAGTATCGCGATTGTATCTTTTTAAAAAAAATTGTAATTGTAACTGAAACTAACTCTTCATCTACTATTATTTGTGAACCTGATTATGTTGTCTTTAAGCTGATCTGAGTATATACGACCATGCAGTTTTCCGAGGACAAATGTCCTATGGCTAATATATTTGGTGGACATTTTGTTGACGAAGAAATCCTTCGTAAGTTCATCTGGCTCAAATAATTCAGGCGCTTTCTTTTTAACTCTTTTAAGATGCACTAAACTGTCTGAAGTTTTGTTTTCTAGAAACGAACTACAAATGATGAAAGGGAACTCCGATCCCTTAAGAAGCGCCTCAATTTATATGACTCTGCTAAGGATTCTCTTTCCGATAGCTTCTTCTGTAGTCTACTGGATCATCATGACACGGTGTGAATAGGATATTGTCGCGGTATCAGATCCTCGTTGTCAGAACTCGACCAAAAAATGTAAGTTTTATTGTAAAATATGAGCGTTTGGTAATATATTTGAAGAGAATATTTCTCTTCTTATGTGAACAGTTCTGCGTGCACTGGTCATGTGAGCACAGCACTCATATGCTTTGAAATGCAGATGAAGTCTTATTGCTTATTTATACTATATATATGTAAATATATATGATTTTACTAGCTCATATTCGGATGACATCCATGGAGTACCTGTTTGACTGACTCATGACTACAATTTTGGGAATTATATATATATATATATATACCCTAAAAATTTTATTAAGAAAGCGGTGTTCAACCTACAATTTCAGGTATCTTATGTTTCAGAATTGAACTTGTCTTGGCTGATTCATCAATTCTCTTGAAATGTATGTCACCCTCCAACTGTATGCTTGTAAATTGTCAGAAATAGAATTAAAGAGGGCTAATTTCTGAAGACCCCTCTGTACTTGTGGGGTTTTGTGCATGCCTTTTTAATCCCACGAGACCCATTGTATTTTGGAGTGTCGTACAAAACCCCCCAAGTTGTAAACTTTTTTCCAACAGGACCCCACTGATAATTGGCAAATAAATAATAAATGTCCTTGAGAGAAAAATCTTAATCGGGAGAGGCGGTTCGCTTTGTATGTAAGAGGGGGTGTTTGGTTGCACAATTTTATAGAAAAGTTTTCTTAAAATGTCTGACAATGGTAATTCTGTAATTAAATTTTTTTTGTAGATTTACGTAAATTGTGTTTGGTTCAAAAAAATTTACAGAAATATTTTCTGTAAAGTACAAAAAAGTACCAAAATTTATAGAAATTAATTTTCTCTCAAAATGGACGGAAATCATCTAGAAATCTGTCATCACATTGACACTTTTCTATAAATTTAGGGGGTGTTTGGTTCAATTTCTACAAATTATAGGAAATTTTACTATTTTCTATAAAGTTATGAGCCATTTTATTGTTTTGAACCAAACAAGCAAAGTAAAAAAAAAATAATTGGTACTTTTTTACTTCTCAAAAGTTTTCCTATAATTTTTTAAGAAATACAAGGAAACTATATTTTGGATGGAAAACATTTCCTATAATTTGTAGAAATTGAACCAAACACCCCCTAAATGGAAAACGAAAAGTTGGGAGTTCTCCTTTTTTTCGTACGCGTCAATTACATATAGGTGGCCCGTTGTGAAAGTTCTTAACTTTAAATGGTTTTGTTAAAACACCCCAAAATTTAGAGGGGTTTATGGGATGAAAAAAGTTCAAGAGGGTTATGTGTAAAATCCCTCAAAATATTACGATTTTTTTTTATTGAAATATATCCCCTTTGAGATAAACGTCTTCAACAGTTCAACCTCTTCCTCTTGTTGGGCCCGCTCATCACATGGGCTTTTGTTGGTTGGGTGGATTATTCCGACCCCATTGAGCCAGCACATTCCGCCTGGCCTGCCCTCTTGTCAACCGCTTTTCCTTTATCCTGGTCCAAGGGCGCATCCTAGCAACTTCAGGTTACCAGGCCGGTCTTCGAGGCTTAACCCGACAACAAATCGGATCCAAAAGAACAATGATCAATAAATTAATTTCCAACAAACCTTTGATGAGTTACTTATAGATAGTAGTCTATAAAAAAAGTTAGTTATAAATAGGAAACACTTAGGATTACTTTGCGTATATTTTAAAAACCCATGTTACAATTTTATGATTTTTTATATATGACAAGCACATTCCCTCTTCTTTAGAAAATAATAACATATAATTGTTGGTGGTTAATCTTATGAGTCGTCTAATTATCCATTAATTTTCACTCATTGCTTAGTGTGAATGATTAGTTTGTGTCTTAGTTTTGTCCAAAACTAATCTGCGCCCCGTGCAAAGCAAGACCCCCCAGTTTTTTAAGCACTGCATTTTGAACTTGTCTTCTTCTAAGTTTTAATACATTTGATTTAATTATTGTATACTTAAAATTAGAAATCATATCTACTCCTCTATACTTAAAAAATTATCCAAGTTTTAATACATTTGATTTAGAAATCATATCTACTCCTTTATACTTAAAGAATAATCCAAGTGTTAATACATTTGATTTGTTTTACTATTTATGATACAACAATATTGTAGCATGAACTGTAACTTTAAGTATGGAGGAGCAGATTTGACTTACTATTTATGGTAAAGTAAATCACTGTAGCATAAATAGTAACTTCGAGTCCAGATGAGTGAGAGGACCAAATTTGATTTAATGTTTATGCTACAATATTTATTGTATCTTTTACTATAGTATAAACAATAATTCTTTGGATTCTCCTTTAAGTATAGAGGAATAGATACGATGTAATAAGACATTTATAGACATTATTATAGCTCATTTTTGTATCCATCATGATCAGTGACGTTAATTTTTTTTTAAATGTTAATTTTGGTGGGTATCGTCTTCCTAATGATAAGAAAAAATGTTTTGCATTTGTTGAAAGATTAGTGTCAAGAAAAGTCAAAATTCACAAACAAAAGTACAAACAAAAAGGAATCTAGATATAAAGATTTTTGTTTCCTTTTTTCATGTAGAGGCTACTTTATCAACAAATCTCATGCCTAATGAAGAAAGGAATAACGTGTCAAAGCAATTTTGTAGAATTACTCCTCAAGAGACAACTAAGGTTAATTTCACCACACTAGTGCTATAGCACGTGCAAATGCACGTGAGACAATATCAATAAAATTTTCAAAAAAAGAAATAATGTATATCACAATTTTGTGGATGATTTCCCAAAGAAAACATCCTGGAAGCACTTTAGATAATGTTGAGCAGTAGACTTTTCATAGTTTATCTTCAAATTATAAATTTAGTTATTTTTAAGCTAAGTATATAGAATATTTTAACTTTTGATAGCATTTGCATAAAATATAGTCAAATTTCAGTATTTTGTTTGTATCGTGTTTACTTTATCTAATAAAGTTTTTTAAAAGAAATAAGCTTATCGTTCTCTATATATATATTGGTTATGATATTTAATTAGTGAGCTTTAATTCTATGACACGTCATGCTTTGGAATATTCCAGAAAAAGAAAGGGAAAGGAAAATAATGAAACATATCTTCTTTGAAATTACAATTTAAACTTTATGTAAAATGACCAAATTGTTCTGATGTTTTTAGTGAGATGAACTTATACATGTCCTTCAAACTTTTCTTATCCTCACTAAGTTTTTAATTAGTACAAATAATCTACATGAACTTT